TACCTGGGCGGCGTGAGCCACGGCTTGACCTTGGGCCGCGGCGACGGGAAAGCCGGCAGGACGCAGGAGGAGGATGTTGTGCGAGTCTGGTTTCTAGAGAGAAGAATTTTGGTGTATATAAATGTATGCTCACCTCGTCCGTTTTTCCCTTCTCCTTTTCTTGTAACTTGGTTAAACAAGCTGGACTACTTTCCTTGACTTTTCAGTTCTTTACTTTCCTTTCCTTTTATACTTGATTGTATATATATATATTGATATATATATTTTCTTCGCTTCTCAAACATACTTTCAATTCCTTTAAATTCAAAATGTTCAGAAACATTGCTCTCGCATCCGCTTGCCTCGCGGCCGTCGTAGCTGGTCTACCGGCCACCAAGCGCGGCATCCAAGACAAATACACAAACTACCAGGGCGACGGGTCTGTCGGCGCCGGATGGCCGTCGATGGACACCTGGGGCTCCTGGGACGATCTCTGGAAGGCCAACTCGGAGCTGATGAACAATACTTGCACCTGGAACGGCTGGGGCAAGGACGACTCCAGCGACGAGATCGCCGCCGTGGGCAGCGCCATCCAGGACGTCGCCAAGCAGACCGGCATCGATGACCGCTTCATCCTCGCCGTCTTGATGCAGGAGAGCAAGGGCTGCGTCCGCGCCCCTACCACCAATAACGGCGTCGTGAACCCCGGCCTCATGCAGTCTCACAACGGCGCTGGCACCTGTGCCGGCGTCGACCCTTGCCCCAGCAGCGAAATCACCCAGATGGTCCACGACGGCGTGGCCGGCACCTCATCTGGCGATGGCCTCCAGCAGCTGATTGCAAAGGCTAAGGGAACTGTGAGCGGCGACAGCCAAGTTTACTACGCCGCTGCCCGTCTGTATAACAGTGGCTCGGCCAACTATGCCAACCTCGCCCTTGGCATGGGAAGCACGCCTTGCTATGCTTCTGATATTGCCAACCGCCTGACTGGCTGGACTCTGGCTACTACCGGCTGCCACTGAGGAACTGGCATGACAAAGATAGTTTGACGCTGTCTTGATGGATATGGGGGTATACTGAGTCTCGGGGGTATTTCAATCTTTTTCATGTATCTTCAACTTACATATTTTCAAACCCCCATGTACATGTCCAGCGAAATACCAAGTCTCTCTTTGACAATCATCTTGATCTCGTACCCTCATCCATTGTATATTGGGTACACGTACCCTAGTAAGCCGTAAACTCGGCATGTCAACTGTAGTGATTAATATGCAAAATCTGTTCATGAACGGTTTCAAGTCTTTCGGTGCGTCTTGTTGGACGATCGATTTGTGAAGGATTTGTTTGTTTACCTGTTCAGGGGGCCAAATTGTCGACGTAGTGGATATACTTCTTCCAAGTGCCAGCTTGACGATTGCTCAAGTACATGCCGTAGCAAGACCGACCAAAGTATTCTGCCAATCAAAAATGTGGGTAGCCAGTTCTCGCTCGTCCAAACCCATATGGTGTTGGCAGATGCTACTCGCATCAAGTCAGCTCACGAGTTGGTCCATGGACCTTGGACAAGTTGCTTCGCCGTCTATCTATCCTCGGGGCAGAACGGCTTGAAATTTCAGGGTTCTGTTCATTTTCTAAGGGTGGTTACTGGGCAGACTTGCCTGTATGTACTCGGAATGAAGGTAGTTCAAGCCGTAGAAGAGGTGCCTCCGCCCGGCCTTTTATAGAGGTCAGTGAAGCCTCCTGTAGGATTTTTTCGAACTAGATGCTTCCTGTCGTAGTATATAGAGGGTGCTAATACATCAAAGATATATGGCGTGGCCACGCCCATTTTTTGGTGCAACACTTCCAACTTTCCCACATTGGACGTTGGACAAGGAAGTAATGGTCACCTCCTGGGTGGTGAAGCTGGAATATGTCAAGTGCGGCTCTGACACGGCGGTACCCGGGATGTGATGGATTTGCCTTGCCAAGGGTCTCTAGAACTTGGAGCTCTTCTCGATTCCCCCTATGCCTGGTGTAGACTTTCAAAGCAACATGTCCACGGGTGCTATTTTACTCGCAGTTAGATTTAAAATAGAAAAGTGTCTCGGGGCCTGAGAGACTCACATGAAGTTCCCGGCGAACCATACAGTCGACGTGGTACCAAAGCCCAGTTTCCGAATGACTTGGTACTTGGACGCAACCACATCGCCCATGTTGATCGGGTAATACGGGCTGGTAGCGAACCCATCGAGCTGTTCTTGCTCCAAGAATGCTGGGTCTTGGACAGGGTCAAGCCCAGCAGTGGGAAAACACAAAGGGACTACGGGTGCTCTGCGTGTCCAGGCCTTGGCCCATTTGAAGACTTGAGGGATGCCATGTGTAGATGCAAGAGCCAAGTTTAGAAGCACTGAACCGACATTACATGGGCCCACTGGCATAGACTCACGGGCCAATGATGTCTCAGTTGCGCTTGCAGTCGGCCAACTTGACTCTTAGAATATGACGAAGAGGAACGTCATTACAAGCATCTAGGCAGCGTTTGGTATAGTTTTCAGTTTATACAATCCGCCAGTTCATGTGGAGGCCAAAGCTCCTCCAGTCGTGCTTTCACGCTGAACCAATCTATATCTACCTTTGATTTCCATCAAGATCAAGAAAAGCGCTTACACAGGGCGCCGGACCAAAAGGAAAGAGAGGAATGACCACCGCACTGAATATTTCATAAGCTACGCATTTTTCCGTAGTTGGCATGCAGCTACACACGACGAAGGATATAGAAATCGACAAAACCACCCAAATGCGGACATGTTTACAGGCCTGCCCAACGGCGAGGCCGTTTAATCAACTTCAATGACATCCCCCGGCACCGTAATCAAAGTAAACTTCTCATCAACGTAATACCACCTGTCATACGGCGCCGGTCTAGCTGCTGGCGGCAAGATGTTGGACTTTTCCGGAATCTCAAACTTCTTGGTCGCATCCTCGGGCTTGACATAGGTCTTGCAAGCACGAGGATTCGTAGTCTGCCAAATGCTGATCTTGCCGCGGTCCTCTTTGCCGAGAACAAGATCGCTCCAATGCTGGTGACTTTCGGCGAGTTTGGCATTCATGGTACGAGCATTGACGTATTCGTTGCCGATGATGAGGTTGAGGCCCTTGCCACGAGCGACTTTGTAATACTTGATGGTGTTAGTGAAAACCCTGTCCGGGGGAAGCGGAGAAGGGTTTGACTTGCAATAAACCAGTCAAGAAAGGATTTGCTGAGTCCGGGTCGGTACTTGTCCAGTTCTTCGACGGCTAAACCACTTAGATGTGCGCTTTGGGATAGTTTGGTACTACGACGGCGGGCGACTTACAGCTGACGAGGTTGGCGAGAGGATCCCTAACGTCAATAGCAATGACCTTCCAGTCCGTCGTGTTATCCTGTTTTTTTCTCTCCTTAGCTGACCTCTGTTTTTTCGAATATTTCCACATACAGCGGGCAACATACGTCAATCATGGCAAGGCCCCCCAGAACTTTGACCTGCTTGACCTCACCCGTGTATCCTGGCCTAGCCATTGTCAGCAACAAAAGTCGCAAAATTGTTTGCAAAATATGCCCAACTTACGAAATGGAGCTGACGTCAAATAAATCGACCGGGTCATTGTCTCCCACAAGGCCGGTATAGTTGTCCTTGACATTCTTGTTCTCCCACGTCTGTGGAATCGACCCATACAAGAAGGGATACGTCTTGTGCGGCCAGAAACTAGCCACAAACCGGGGCTTGTTCTTTGAGGTGTCGTGGAAGAGAGGGTCTGTCGACAATTTAGCAAAAGTCTTTCCAACTCTAGAAATACATTGACTACAACGCACTCAGAGGCTCGTTGCGCTGCGTTTCAATCTTGCCGTCGGTCCATCGGGGAATCTCAACTACAAAGTTGATGACCGGCCCAGGCTTATTATCCGGGTACAAAGGCACATCGTGCCAGGGCGAGACGGGATATCCATCCTTCTGCAGCCATACTCGCCAGTCCTTTTCCCACAGCGTCAACTCATTGCGTCAATAGTGTACATGAAGGGATGAATTCTGCGTGAAGCGACTTACAACTGTGTTCCTAGCGCCAACCTCTCGGAGTGTATAGGAGCCGTTATTCTGGGCAACGGCACCAACTGCGCTCAGAGGCACGAGGACCGCTTGAAACAGTTTCAAGACATACATTCTCGACAATGCTACAACAAAGGCAGACGGAGGAATAGTGTGCTCGCTCACTCACATGTCATGCAGCAGGGGAATACCTCTTTAATACCATCGCATCTGCATCTCCGCAAGTGGCAATCAAGACACGCCGCCCTCCGGATCACACACTTTTAGCGCATGAAACTAGATGCAAAGGATTTCCAGAGCAGCTCAATGTGCTGCGCTGAGTGGTACATTTGATGTAAACTTTGATGCGAGTTATCAATCTAGAGCCGCAGGCTAATGCGATGACATGCTGTGCCCCCTGTCAATGATCTGCCTTGGTGCCAGTGAGCTCAAGGGTCATGGCCCACGTGGGTCTTGGCAACATGAAGAATTAACAGGTTCAAGTTTTTGAGGGCATGTTAGGACTGGGGCCCTCCACCGAGGCACGCGTGTGGCAAAGTGATTTGGTGGAGGAGTAAGGCTATTTCTGGGCCTCCGGTTGCGGATCTTGAGTCGATCTCGTGTCCAGAATACACAACAGAAGCAGAAGGGGTCTGTCAAGTCGTGGCAAACGGAAAATGATCAAGTCGAGGCAAATGAACAAGGCGGGTTTCATTGGTATTGTAGACCCGGCCGACGTGGCTGAAGCGAAGATGGTGTGGATGAGAAAGGAAATAAACGTGGCGGCGTTGATGAGGCCGATGATGAAAGGGTGCGTCCAGTGACGTCTAATTACGACCAAGGCCTCTTCACACGGCATTGTGTCCATACTGAGGAGAATTAATACTAATCACAGTGACAGGGGTATCCAATTCGACTCCAACATGTATACATACATACAGTACATAGATCCAACCTTCTCCTCAGTCCTCCCATCTATGTCGCCTTCGCACCACTCAGCTGAGGCGGCGATCTGACCTGGTCATCAATCTTCTCCACAATACAGGCTGTCCCGTATGCCGCTGTCTGCGCGAACCCGCCCATGTCACCAGCGTCGAATCGCAAGCAAATAATCGCATTTCCGCCCCGGCGCTTGCATTCTTCCACCACACGGCTTATAGAGTCATTTCGACACGAGTACAGCATGGAGGTGAACCACTGGAGTTCGCCACCAGCAAAGCTCTTGAATACCATGCCGAGACTGGCGGCGATATTCCGACTGCGGACAGTGATTCCATAAACCGCGCCGAGAACTTGGACGATTCGGTATCCAGGGAGATCCATCATAGCTATACAGGTGCGTCAGCGTTGTGGTCGATTGGTTGCGCGCCCGCCCAGCGAGAGACCTACTTGTCGTAATGACGCCTTCGGTTTCGGTGAAGCAGTGAAGGTCGGAGATCTGAGGGGGGATGTTGGCAACTTCCTCAGCCTGTTTTTCTTTGCGTCCGGCCATTTCGAAGGTGTCAAGTTATACTATAAATGTGGTTGTCATGGATCGGATCAGAGGCCGAGAAGATATGTTGTCCCAGTAGTTGGTCAATGTATTTTGAGTAGAGAGTTTATAGGGACATGTGCCACGCTAGGAGAAAAAAATCCAAATAGCTGAACAGCGAACAACTCTCTTATTTATACTGACGGGAGAATTGGCAAATGCAGTCGTCATAAGGGTTGTCATCCTCGTTGTATTTTGCCGTTTCAGTCAAGTTGTGGCTGACAGCGAGCCTCTCATGGAAGCGTCGTGGCCAATGGGTAATTTCTCCGTAATGGACGACGAGTTAGTTAACTACAGTCCAGCTGTGGCGGCGGTGGCTACCTGGCTGTTGATACCGTTTGCGACAGGCGTTGGGATGGCTCTGAGGCTCTTTTGACGTGCTTCACTGAGGCTGAGCTCACGTATTCGTCGTATCGAGGCGACACGACACCTGCGAGCCGCGCGAGTGGGGTCGACGCTGGCTCTCAACCGACTTTAGAACTCAGCCAACCGAAAACCAAGGAATGGAGTGTCGGAGTACATAACTAGGAGTACTACTATTAGATAACTTACTTGCCTGTTTTGATGCCGAGCCCATTCGGCCATGCAGTGGCTCGGTCAGCCACTCCCGACTTCGTCAATACTGCTCGGCACATAGAAAATTAAACGAGAATGGCCCGTAATGTCGCTCCATCTGAGGCGGGCCGTTGTTGTGGCATGCCGTCATGTCTGCACCGCATCAGACGTTGGCTGTCCGTCCACGGTACCCTTAGACGAGTTGATCTGGAGACTATTGTTTAAGCTGCACAACCTTGGCCCAAGTTCACCGGTTTCAGTTGCAATCCCTTCCCGGTCAGGACAACTAAGCGCTTTTTGCTGCGTCTCGGCGAGACGCCATCAATTAGGTTGAAGGTGTTCCGCTGGGTTGGCTGCTTACCAACCGGCTTGTCGACTCTAGTTCCTTCTTATTCGCCAGGTGGCCGGTGATCTAAAACATTATGAGCGCCTCTGGATGAAGCTTGCTTGAACCATGTAATATTGGTTGGTCGTCATCGTTCCGACAGAGTCAATTAGCATATATGGGCACTAAGACTCCGAAATGTGTATAGCGCCCATGCTGAAAGTTCGGTAACAATGCCCAGTCCAATATTCCCACGCACAAACTGGCCATTGGACCGATTCTCAACTGCTCAAACGCCAAGTGTCGTGCCGAATCCCTCGGTATACCACCGCTAATCCTCCAAGCGCATTCTCAAAGACATTGATTGATTTAGACACCCACAACCAGCGTCCAAGGTCCGACCAAGTAGCGGGCCATACATACAGCGCTGCAGAACCCTGTAACCTGACATCTTCAGACCCTGGTTGGCATCTGCGGGATGGGGGTGGTATCCTGGGCAAGAGTGTCACCACCCCTACCAATCAATTAGCAACAGCCTCAGTTTTTCTCAGCGCCATCTAACGGATGTATCAGCCAAAAGCTCACCGCCTGTGGTGTATTTCAAATACAATATTACCCTCGTTCGTCCTAGTCCTCGGGATGAATTCTTCAAGGCGACCAGACAGCACACATGCGCTGTTTGCCTTGTTTTCAAACCGACATGCTCGGACATGAAAGAATTTATGGATTTCTCATCATGGGGTCGTTGAAGATGGACACAGATGACATGGACCAAATGTACGGAAGAGATGGACTTGATGCCGCTGAGGCCCGCGGCATTCCGCGCGTCACATATTGTGCTTATGCCAACTTCACCTCCCCCGTGTCTGGCCACCCGGGCAGTTTCTGGATATCGTCACATTGCCTTTCGTTGTCATCGCGGCATGCTTGCGTCGGCATGCTTGCGTTTTCATTTTTGCACGGCAAGGGAATTTTCGGTGATGGTGGCTACCTTGTTGCAGGGGTTCGTTACCCGCATGACAAAATTGGCGACCATGTCTGTCAAACATTGAACGAGGAGTGATGGGCAGAACGCTGCGTTGGTAACACGCGGAGAAAACGGGCAACGACGGGGCACCGGGCCGGAGCGCTGGAGCTGGAACTGCATCTGCGGGATTGAATCTCCAACGGTACGGAGGAGTATGTATGTGCACACACATGTGTGTTTGCCGCATGCAAGAGATCAAAATGGGGAGAAGAAGCACGGGGGATGACCGCCGCCATGGCTCTGACAATGCCCAACCCACCACTTTCGCCCGAAGTGAGGACGTCACCTTGATCCACGACACACACCCATCATGGCTTGCCAGCGGGGTGCTCCTTCCTTCTTCCCGCATGGTGGCGTCGCCCGTTCGGTACACCTCTCTAGTACTCCATACTGCATACTCCAAATGTCTTCATGGGCCAGCCCCAACCAGAGCAACTCGATGGCCTCCTTTACGTCCACGCACGCCCATGTTTTGCCTCTTTACATGTCCCAATCTCACATAGTCTTTCATTCATGTGAATTGATTTGCTCTACGCCTCCGCAACGATGAACGACTGCAACTCCTTTGCCACCACGATGGCCCGGATACACGTGGAAATCAAGTAGACCTTTGGGTAGCTTTGTCTTCCACAGCCCAGAGGGTAGCAAGCTCCATGGTGCTGCTGAATTTTTCTTCTTCTGCTTCTGCTTGGTCGTGCCGTCCCCGGCTGTGTCTTCCGCGGGAAGCAGAGGGTAGTGACTTCATTCGTCACTATCATCACGGCAATGCGAGACGTTCGTCGAAAGGAGGCTAAGCAGCACCAACAACTTGTCGACTCCACTTGTACCGAGAGGCTCTTTCTCCATGTGTGCTGGCTGGATCCTGTAGCGGCTCAAATCAGGTGCTTAACCACCAGTTGTGGTAATTGAGTGGTGCCCGATGTAGGTCGAGTGCGGGCAAAGAAGGCTTGGGACCGGCATATTAAAGGGACAGCATTTCTGTGGCCCCGCGGGTGCCCCTCTCCCACTCGTGACAGCTTCTCAAAAGCTTGAATCGACAGGTCTTCTTTCTTGGCCTTTCTTTTTTATCTTTAGTCGCCGGATGGACCATTGTTTGCAGTATTATTAGCCAACGGCGACAAGCGACTTAATATACCAGCCCTACTGTCACCACTCTCCACTTGGGCCCCATCGTATCGGCCCACACTAGTGACGATGACCAGCCAAGACCATGGATCCTTCTTGAACAATCAAGAAGACATACTTGCCGGTCTCGAAATCAATCCGGCTGCTACATATCACGCTGAGGACAATATCAACTGCTTCGACGACTATACCCAACATAAGTAAGTAGTCCGTCAATGCCAAGGCCATGAGCGCCACTCCCATCTATCTCCTAACACTTGTATTAGTGTATCCCAAGCACAACTTTCCTCAGATTATACATTGAGCTTGCCACAACACGATCGAATCAGGGCACGACTGGCACAAACCCAGCGATTAACCGACAACCTTACTCAAGTATTCGTCAATGACGTTAACAATATACAATATCAACACCATGGCACCCAATCGGCACCGTCTGCTAATCAACCTTCACACTTTCAACAATTATATAATGAAAACAATATTGGCCTGACACTTCAAGCTGCGCAAGAAGGGCCAGCTGTTGGAGATTCAGTAATTGGTAACGTCGAGGCACCATTCTATGACAATCTATTGCAGCACAATCCGACTTTCGGTGTTTCATCCAACAATGAACACGAAAGTTCAAACTCGCATCTAAACGTGCTCGCAGCTCCCTTTTATCCACCCTCCCATACAGAAAATTGGCCCCCTGACTCGAGTGACTGTTCCTGGCTAAGGGCTTCATATCTGCATTATAATGATAATAATAATGACGGAAGTATAGATGAGATTATGACTTCCCCCTCCTACAACAATCCTCCTGCACTGTCGGGGTTGACCTCTACATCACTCTACACTCAGCCTTACGAAGATGAGCTAGAAACTATGCCCAGCTCTCAACAGGCTTTCAATGCTCCTTACACTCAATATATTGACAACGGCGTGGTATTTACAGGCGGAATGCTCTATAGCCCGCAGCCAACTACCGCGCCGTCTCAAGTGTCTACATCCATCAGTGGCGCTGGGTCTCAACATGAATATTCCTCGTCCGGCCCCACGGCTGCATCATCTCTTCAGCAGACGCGCAGCATTCCTTCGAGGACGGCAGGATGGGGTCCCAGACGAGCACCATCACTATCTCGCTCAATTTCTGCCCAAACCAGTTTCAGTCACGAATCGAATGGCTCAGGACCATCCAGGAGGGGTAAGCGGAATGGCCCAATGGACCCAAGGAGAAACCGGCAAGCACAGGAAACCAGGATTCAGCAGTCCGTCTGTGCGGACTGTAAATTGCGCAAAGTACATGTTTGTCTCTCGTCTCTTTTTTATTGTCGAAACAATCCCAACAACGAACTAACCGCCCCTGGGCAGTGCAACAGAAATGAAGCTCTTAAGACATGCGACGCGTGCAGGAAGAAGGGGTTGCCATGCGTTAAACATTTCTTCTCCCGCGATCTGAAAACACGGCCAGAGTATCAGTTTGGTATGTCATCTCGATACAGATTTTCGAGGAAAGTACCCATAAACATGTGACTCACAGCTGATGTAGGACTGTTTCTGATCAATTCGGCATTGGTACCAGCCATGATCAAACCCTGGTTAACCCAGAACATAGACTTCACAAGAAATCTCAACTATCTGGATTACTACAGCAGATTTTATAATATTCGCTTGCAATCACCGGAAGCATGGTGCGATCTCGATCTAGTTGCCTGTCGACAACATTGGCAGCAAGCAAAACTGGATTACAACGATCCAGAAGATCATTGTACGGTGGAAGACTTTGTTACCAATAAACACAAATGGCAAGATACTATGAATTGTCGCGCCCTTCTGTTGGCGTCATCCTCAGAAAACAGCTGGGATGACCCGTTGAAAGCGTTTTCGAGGCTGGATAAAATTTCAGGCCGAGTGTCATGCAGTTTGATTGGCAAGTCTGGAGGTGCATCCGGGGCACGACCACTCAATCTTCAAGACGAAAATGACAAGAGCTTATATTTCATCGCGATGCTCTCCCTCGAACGAATTCGGCATTACATGGAACTGGAAGCATATCACTGCTTGGAGCAGGAACTAGTTCCAGGCAGAGTGGATGAAAACGTCAGAGTCGTCGCATATCTAGGCGTGATGTTACGTTCACTCCGCCGACGTATTGCAATCTGTAAAGCCACTCAAATATGGATTTATTTTCAAAACGGTCCGCTCGCAAAGTATCTAGGTTCAGGCTCAGAAGCAAGCATTGAGCCCCCGGTCATCAGGCAAATGAAGGATTTTTGCTTCCAGTTATATACCCACTTTCTCTGTCGCTTCACCAAGATGAATGCAGTCTCCAGGGGTAAGATAGGGGACGGGCAACATCCCATACATCCCTTTACAGGAACGCACATCATGGAATACCTGCCCACAGACCCAAGTATACATGGTTTCGCCAACTGGATGGCCGAAGGCGAAGTGGCATGCGGGTCACCTGGGTGGTTGTAAAGATGCGTTTACCGAGCAGACTTTAGGGCCTTCTGGAGGCTAGGTTTTGGCATTTTCTTGGGTTGGATTATAAAGCTATTGCATCTGCCGGTTGGCAGTAACAGGGAAGAAAGCGGAAGACAAATACGGCTCACGCCTCGGTATCTGGAAGGGCATGATAGCTTTGTAGATCTAGTGTAACAGTGACGAATTGTGAAGCAGAGATGGGGAATGTTGTACACAAATATTGGAAGCGGATATAAGGGACAAGGCACAGATGTCATAACAAAGGGTTGTATTTGGAGAGGGTTCTCATTCCCTGTCGCAGTGGCAAACGTACCTCACATTGACAATATCCATACAGAATCAATTCACCCCCCTTAAGAACTGTAGGCAAAGAGAGAAGAAGAGCAAGTGGATGCGCCCAAACAAAACCATTTTTGGATGCCAGACGGAGAAACATGTTGTGTTGTGTCTCCATTCTCCATGCTAGTGGATTTGAAATCCACAGCTTCCACCAACGTACATTAAAACAAAACTCGAGGTTCTCCCTCTGCGAAATAGGCAGTTTATCTGCCCCTAATCACGTCCCTTGGCAATTCCCATCTCTGCCTGTATCACCTTCGGACTCCCTTACTCCATGCATTTTGTCATGACCGGTAACGAGATGTTTCGCCACTACTTGATTGCCGGCGATATTTTGTAGGTTTATAATAAACTGAGTTCCTTTTTTTTTTTCGTCCACTGTTTCGCCACTCCTAAATGTTCTTCGCCGTATTGTTACAAATTACGCAGCTTGCTGCATGGTCTCTCTGATCGTCTTAGCGGTGCCGGCGAGATCGGTAATCTTGGCCTTAGGGTTCTTGCCGTGATAGTCGGCAATAGCAGCCTTGATGGCGTCTTCTGCGAGCATGGAGCAGTGAACTGGGAGAGGGTCAGATTTGTAAAAAAAAAATTCGCCAGAGCTTTGATGCAGCTGCGCAGTTCTATGGAGGTACGTACGCTTGACGGGTGGCAGGCAGAGTTCCTTTGATATGTCGACATTACGGATCTTGGATGCATCTTCCACTGTAACATTGGCTTGTTAGCAATCTGCAGCCTGCACCAATTTCAAGTTTCGAGCGAGAGTGAAGTTCCTCGACTGGTGCATTGCAAAATTGGATATAACTCACATCGCATCCCCTTGACCAACTCGGTCAAATAACTCGAGCTTGCGATTGCGGAACCGCATCCAAACGTCTTGAATTTGGCATCAGTAATGGTTCCCGTGGTCTCGTCAACTCGAATCTGCAGCTTCATAACGTCGCCGCATGCTGGGGCGCCAACGAGTCCAGTGCCGACAGCGGGATCCTTCTTGTCCATGGAGCCTGGGTTCCGGGGTCGGCTGTAGTGGTCCAGCAGTAGAATCAAGCATGTTAGCTGAATGTGCGCGAAAAAGGGCGTAAAGCTGCGAAAGAAAAAAAAGGTCCTTGATGCGATGCTGCACTCAGGGATGACCACTTATCTTTATCGTGGTAGAATCGACGCCCAGCCAGCTGAGGAGTTGCTGCCGCGGCGGCGATGGGAGAGGGCATTGCCCGGATTGTACGGAAGGGCGCTCTTAATGAAAACATTTTGATTGCGGTGTGTATGTGTGATGCGTCCGACTGCGATGAGCGATGGCGCAACAGGTGGGTTGTCGTGGTTGTGAGGTCGAGGTCGAAAATGTGAGGAAAAGAGATTAAATGGAGATTATGAAGGTGGCGACAGCGGACGGAGCAGAGAGATGCTGGGGGACTTGCTTGGCTGGCGCTTGTGTGTGGTAGAGCAGCACTGAGCACACTCAGCGAGATTGATAAAAAACGCCGAGCATGTCCGGGCACCGGCGCTCGTCATACACCACGGGCCAATCAAGGCACAAGGAAAACTAAAAAGCCGACGCTGCGTAAAGCACAAGTCAAAAAATGGTTTGTGTCATACGGTAGATTCAGCACTGTGTGGCTACGGTGCAATCGCGGTGGCAGTACGAAGTACACAGTACGGATATGACGAAGATTTGCGCACCAGGAAAGTGCTGGAGATTATCTGTCCGGGGGTGGGAAGGAGCCAACGGGCAGAACCAATAGCAAGGTCGAGTGTGAGGGCGAGGGTCCCAGCAAGTATCTGGAAGGCAGTACGCAGTACGTAACGGAGGAAGGAGCGCCCTTCCTACACTTCGTATGTACGAACGAGTGTCCGATTCGGCCAAAACGACGGCCTGTCGATTTACCCCGCCCCACCTGGTCAGATGCTGGGCAGTTAGTTGACGGATCAGCAGTAGGCCACTGATGATACAGTGAAGAGTGAGGAGGGGTTGAGGCCTTGGAGCCTTGTGGCCGTTATTTGCACGCTCAACATGTGAGCCGTACACAATGTACGGAGTAGGCTAGCTGGGTCACGACGTGCACATGCAAGACCTGAACGGTGTTGATCGGCTCCAAGTTCTCCGTACCACGGTTATCTGCGGGCCCACTCCGGTTACCGGCCTACCCTTGACTTTGACTTTGATTGGGAAAGGGTTTGCGGCTGGCTCCGAGCCATGGGAAATACGAGATGGCATAGCGATTTCGTAATTGTCTTTGCAATTTATCTGTTGGGATTTGTCTTCTCTATGTAAGTTGTCGGGTCTTGTTCTGAAACGGATGGCATTTTCATCAGAGCAGGGGTTAATATCAGTCATACAACCTGCGGGACCCGGAGAGGATGAAGGCAGGAACTTGATGGCACAGCGTTAAAGACAATGTGCAACCATGCAAGAACGCAAAACATAGCAATGTAGAACAAGTCGTGTATAGAAAAGCAGGCTTCGTGTCTGTTCGTGACTGCTCGTCGGTCCTCTGCACGACGAGGGAGCGCTTTGGCTTTGGGTTCTGGCCTTTGTACTCCGCACTCCGTTTTCCGTACGTTGGTACCTGCCCCGTCCGTCTCGCCCCATCGCATCGGGAAAGCCAATAACGCCACATCACCTATTGAGACCCCGAACAGGACACTTGAGCATGCAACCGCCAGTCTTGGTCTCGCGCTACCCGTGCTGGCCTCAATCAAGTACCTTTGAATAGGATCCAAACAAACATCAACGTCCCGGACCAAAGTCCACATCTAGCTTGCGCTATTGCCATTTATGTGTGCTGCTACGTGGGGATCACCATGTTGCCATTGTCATTGTGAATAACTTCCCAAAAGCAAAGGCCAATTTACGCCTCCATCCATCCCGCGAACCCTGGTCTCGCTGCATAAACCGCCCTCGCATCGAGCTGCAGCAGGCTAGAAGCTACCGGGCACGAAACGCGGTGCTATTGCCATTGTTGCCGTCACTGCATTTGCTAATCAGTCATGGCGCCACCATTCACAGACGATCCAGAGAGCCAACGGCCGTCGACGTCGCGCCTTTCCCAAGACTCACTCTCCTCCGTTTCAACCACGAGCCTCGTCTTCGATCGAATCCAAGAAGAGATGGACAGGGACCCTTCAGCTAGCCGTTCTGCTAGACGAGACTTGTTACCGGCAACGAAAGATGAAGGCGACTTCGACGAGAACGCCTCCGAGACGGGCGCTTTCCTCGGGCCTCCAGGCGTCCCATTGCAACGCCAGCCCATGGATAGGGGTTTTCGACGAATATTAATAATAATTGGTGCTGTTTTTGTTGGAGCTTGGCTTGCCGGATTGGGAATCTTTGTACTGTCCGGCTCCTATAAACATGAGAGCGACTCAGAACATGACCCCGATGCCAACTCAAGAGGATCCGGCAAAGCCGTCACCATGGACCAAGTGTTTGGGGGGTTCTGGTCGGCCAGATCCCATAGCATCAGCTGGATAGCAGATCCTGATGGCGGTGATGGTCTCTTGCTCGAAGTTAATACTGCAAACGGTTACTTGGTTGTAGAGGATGTGCGTGCCGACAAGGAAAGTACTGATACCAACGCCGGCCAAACCGCCGACACTCAGCCTGCCAAGCCGCGAGTATTGATGAGGGACCCTTACTTTATGTATCATGGTGAAATCAAGCGGCCTGACTGGAACGAGCCAAGTCCGGACCTGAAAAAGGTTCTGTTGGCCGTCAAACGCGAAAAGAACTGGCGCCACTCTTTCCAGGCAACCTATTTCATCCTCGACGTCGAAACTGCCCAAGTTCAGCCTCTTGTGCCGGACAATGTCAACGCCAAGGTCCAGCTGGCCAACTGGAGTCCCACAAGTGATGCCATATCCTTCACCATGGACAACAACATCTACATCCGTCGACTGAACCAGGCCAATGATGTGGTGCAAATTACCAAGGACGGAGGGCCAGAGTACTTCTATGGTATCCCCGACTGGGTCTACGAAGAAGAAGTCTTCGCCGGCCGCTCAGCAACCTGGTGGTCTGACGATGGCAAGTACCTTGCATTCTTGCGAACCAATGAGACGGCTGTGCCCGAATATGCGATCGAGTACTATATCCAGCGTCCGTCGGGCAAGAAACCCGCCGTGGGCGAGGAGGCATACCCAGAGATTCGCAAGATAAAGTACCCTAAACCAGGAGCGCACAACCCCGTTGTCGATGTCCAGTACTATGATGTTTCAAAAGGCGATGTTTTCTCCATCTCCGCCCCCGACGAATTTCCCGACCACGACCGTATCATCTCCAATGTCCTCTGGGCCGGCAACAAAGTCCTGCTCAAGCAGTCCAATCGCATCGGTGACTTCCTCAAAGTCATCCTCGTCGACCCCTCACAGCGTGAAGCCAAAATCGTCAACAGCATCAACATTGCCGAAATCGATGGCGGATGGTTCGAAATCTCACACACCATGACATACATCCCTGCCGATCCCAGCAAAGGCCGCCAACAAGACGGCTACGTAGACACAGTTATTCACGAGGGCTACGAGCACATCGGCTACTTCACTCCCATTGACAATCCCAAGCCAATCATGCTCACATCCGGCTCGTGGGAAGTTGAAGATGCCCCGTCAGCAGTTGACCTGAACAACAACCTCGTCTATTTTGTCGCCACCAAGGAGTCCTC